ACTGTGTGCCAATTTCCCTTTCTACTTAAATTAGAATATTTTAATTAACTGGCCCCTAAAAGGTGGTGCAGCTAGGTTATTTGGTGTCTTAGACCAGCCCCACTTTTACACAATGATTCATAGCACTTGAAATAGTGTCCATCCTTCTTCTCTTCCCTCCTATTCCATTCTAGAAGCTAACACACATAAAGTCTTATCCTGCCAGGATGGTTTGTCAGCCCTGCCAAGGAAAGCAAAATTATGTGCATATGTAGCTTTACTTTACAAAGTTACACAAATCCTTCATGGTTACAGGAATAAAATAGACCTTGCTACCCTTATGCTGCTTAATTTCATTTAATAATAAGCATATTAGAAATATGCTTATTAGTAAAAGGATGTAATAGTAAAGAATATAATTTATAATTTTCAGAATAAATGAACATCTGCACACATACAAATGTCCACAGATTACTAAACATTTTTTAAATAAGATGGAAGCTACAAGCGTCTGTTTGAAAAGTATCTGTCTCATAATTTGCTATTCTCTGTGTGATCATCTGGGGACTCTGGACTTTGGCCTCAAGGTCTAACCCTAGCTGCACCACCAAGTATTCTCTTAATGATTTTTAACTTTTGGAGATTTTGACTGCTTGCGATGCCCACAAATATGTATCTAGAGACAATTTTAGATAACATGCAGTTAAATTTCAAGTCTTTTTCTGATCCTATAATAACTTCATGGAACTATTTCCGAGTATAAAATAAAAATAAAACATTTGTACTATGGAGAATTCTGATAAATATTCTGTTCATTCCTATTCTAAAAATCATTTTTGGGAGAACTCCTAGATGAAAGGTTGGCTGACAAAACTCAGGAAATCCAAGATGTCAACTCCTTGCACAACAAGAAATTGCCTTTGGTTGCACAAAATATCATTAGTCATGTCTTTGGAGTTACCCGTGTTTATAGACCATTAAATTTTCTGCAGTTTTTATTAGTGTAGTGGTTCTCAACCTGTGTGTCCCCAGATGTTTTGCCTTACAATTCCCAGAAATCCCAGCCAGTTTACCAGCTGTTAGGATTTCTGGTAGTTGAAGGCCAAAATATTTGGAGACTCACAGGTTGAGAACCACTGTGATTAGTGCATCCTTAGCCAAGGATACATAGATCGATAGCCCTATGCCACAACAAAGCAAATGGAAGTGGGTTATGGGATGATATACTCCCTTCTTCTTCCCCTTCTGAAGCATGCTATCATCTTCCTCAGTTTTAAATGTTACATTGACAATGATGTTTCCTGCATTTAAGAATAGCCAGGGTTTCTACTTCTCCAGGATTCGCAATCGAAGTGGAAACATATTTTAAAATCCTGGTGAAGAAAAACTCCTAGAAAGCATAAACTACTTGCAACGAAATTGTTGACATGACTTAATTATGGTTAAGCCTAGTTGTAGGGGCTTATGTCTCAAGAGAGAACTGAAGGAGAAGGGAGGTGGGGAGGCCAACAAAGCCCTATACACTTTGCTGAAGTGCAGTTCTGCATTCTACCTGTACCAGCTAAATGAGATTTTTTCATAATGCATTTTAAAGATATAAATCTCAAAGCTGAATGCTAATGAAAGGAAGAAAAAAATGAAATATAATGAAGTTAATGACAATCTAGAAAATACACTACAGGCAATAAAAGATGAGGGAAACTATCACAAAAAGTAGGCTACAAAGACTAGTATGGGTTTATCAACACATAATTTTTGAGTCTGGCCTAATATGTTTATTGCCTTTGACATCATTTTGCTTTCCCTTTATTAAATAGAAGCACAAATTGGCAATACCTGGATCTACCTGTCCTGTCTGGGAGACTGAAAGATAAAGGTCTGTAAAGAGAAGAATGGAAAGAACTAGAAAAGATCAGGTGGTTTGAAAAAATGAGGACTGGCTTAAACAACCAAAATGACACCCATCTGAACACTACACAAACACCACAGTTTTTCCAGAGGACACCTTCCATGTCACTTATAGTGCCTGACAAACCCACATCCATTTTTTCCTCTTTCAATCCTTTTAGTAAATGCCTAGAACGTTGTTAGCTTTCTTTTTTTTCTTTTTCTTTTTTTGCATGATTGACACATCTTTAATTGTAGGAGCTAAAACTGTTCATAGTTTGCAATGAGAGAAATCAAAGTTGGGAATGCTTCATATCCTACAAATTCATTTTGTAGATACTATCTCTTGAGTAGAAAAGAACAATGAATCATTTACAGTAGCATGGGTCCGTTCACGTTTGTCAAAGTCATTGATAGATGCATAGTCTCTGTAGTAGAGTAAAACTTCCTAAAATCTGTTGAAAGTGCTCTGGAGTTTCTTGGAACTTTGTGTTGAAAATGAACATACAATCCACAGAGCCAATGCCTTGCTGTCCATGTTTTAGAAAGCATTATGTGTACATTAATTTGAGCTAAGGCAAATTCACAGAAAAAGAAGTTAACTGGGATCCAAAGAACCACATACACTGCTCTTTGTGTGCACCAAGGCTTTCTCACACACTTCTTCCCACCCTGCAAATTCTTGATGTAGTATCTTTGAGTGATGGATGGCCCTAGAATAATGTACAACCATGAATGGGGAGTTATGGTTAAAGATGGAATTAAGTAGGTATACACCATGGACACAAGTAGAGGGGAAACTTTGGATCACAGCCAACATTTGGGATTAGAAGTTCACATGGAAACGTTCAAAATGTCCAAACAGCTTGAAAAGAGCCAATTAGTGTACTCAGATACACTTTGTCTTGCTTCCTTTTGGTTCTCTAATATGAAATGATATCCCAGCACGTTCAGCCCAAGTCACAATGCCCACTACTTGTCTGTTACCTATCTTTAAAGTTTCCTGTTAAAAAACCAAGAAAAAAAATTTCACCAAGATGATTCAATGGAAATTGAATTTAACTTGATCTATTTCACTGAAGTAGCATCCTCATTTGAAATCTCAAGGTGTAGGTTAATCATTCAAACCAGAAGTTTAAGAAGTTTAAGATTTTTAAAAATTAAAAAAAATGTGATAAATAGCCTATTGAGTTGGGTTGCTGTGAGTTTTCTGGGCTGTATGGCCATGTTCCAGAAGCATTCTCTCCTGATGTTTTGTCTGCATCTATGGCAGACATCCTCAGAGGTTGTGAGGTCTGTTGGAAACTAGGTAAGTGTGGTTTATATACCTGTGGAATGTCCAGAATGGGAGAAAGATCTCTTGTTTGAGGCAAGTGTGAATGTTGCAAATGGCCACCTTGATTAGTATTTAATGGCTTTGCTGCTTCAAAGCCTGGCTGATTGCTGTCTGGGGGATCCTTTGTTTAGAGGTGTTAGCTGGCCCTCATTCTCTACACTGAGAATCCAATGAAATCCACAAGCATGTGGACAATTTTAACAGAAAGGAGAAAACTACAAAAATGAACAAAATCTTGCTACCGTTTTTTTTAAAAACCGTTCTAAAATCAGGACAGTAAATAAAGAGCAAACCTCAAAAAGCAGAATTCCAGACAAGAGTCAATCAGGGCAAGCTAACCCCTCCCAACACAGGATCCCCCAGGCAGCAATCAACCAGGCTTCAAAGCTGCAAAGCCATTAAATGCTAATCAAGATGGCCAATTACAACATTCACACTTATCTCAAACAGACAAGAGTTCTTTCTCCCATCCTGGACATTCCACAGGTATATAAACCCCACTAGCCTAGTTTCCAACAGACCCCTCAACGTCTAAGGATGCCTGCCTTAGATGTGGGCAAAACGTCAGGAGAGAATGCTTCTGAAACATGGCCATACATCCTGTAAAACTCACAGCAACCCAGTGATTCTGGCCATGGAAGCCTTTGACAAGCCTACTGGGTTCTTCTGAACGTTTTACACAGTTCAAGTTGGATTCCAATTTTCCTTCATATCTTTATTGATATTATTGCACTAGCATATTGCCATGCATCGTTTAATGTGCTATACCATTTCTGTACTTCTCAGCCAATGCTGTCCATATTGCAAATTAGAAAAGAAAAATATTGTGAAGGTTGAGTCAAACAGCAAATTTTAACAGCATATTAACTGGCAAAATCGATTTCCTTTGTTGATAAAACATGAATGAATCATATTCTATCTTCTTATTTGGGAGAAGTCAAATGGGACATGAAATTCAATATTAACATTACAATTGCTCGAGAAAAGAGTTGCATTTACAGTAGTGCTCTTGCTGGATCATATACTAACCGGGGGGGGGGGGGGGGGGGGGGGGGCAATGAATGAAGGAAAGTTTCAAAACTCAATTGCCTATGGCTAACTTCTTTTTATTTAAAGTAATACTCCAGAATAATTTGATGAACTCATTAAATTTTATTTTAAGAGCTTAGAGTTGTGCTAATTTATAGGACCTCCAATACTCTCAATCATTTTATGTGTGGGGAAAAGGTCATATCAGTTTCTAAATGTCCTCAGTACAAAAAAGTTATTTTAATAACCCCAGAAATACTGGTTTATTTTGTTAGGAATGAAACACTCATTCTAGGACATGATGGCACCAGCTCCCAAATTCATCAGTTACAAAGAACCAAGAGAGGTACTTAAATTATTTGAATTTTGGATTAGACAAAGTTTTTCATTTCTTACCCAAACTTTGGCCGTTGTATTGCAAATTACACATATATTTTCTATTTATAACTCTTCATAGGTGTGCTATAAAGTAAACACTAAATAAAGATCCTCTGAGAGTAAAGACATGCTGCAGAAGACAGAAGCCTTGACTGAAGGAAGCTCAGAAATGTCTCTAAACAGATGCCAATGGCAGATGTGAGTTTGACAGAAGGGAAATGTTGAGCTAATTAAGCAATCAAGGAAGGCTTTTACATGCCACACACTACATGTTTGTTTTTAGCAATACAGGTAGCGGAATATAAAGCAATACTAAAAGATAAAGGACGATTTCACGTCATGCAGGTTCCATGATCATGCTCTAGTTGACTTGAATGCTTGTCATTCTTACCTCAGATTTTTCCAGTTTATTCTGAGCATCAATTTGGGTGACAATTTCATTCATATTAGTCTCCAAAACCATTCCACCCATCACCATTTCAGCCAGAATATTATGAACCTAAAAAAATAACAAAATAAACTAAAAACATATCAATTAAAACAATACATCACAATCATCATCTAAGGGACATTTTTCTTAAATTAGCTTCTTCAATGTAAAATCAGTAACACATCAAATACTTAAGTGAGAGATGCCTAAGACTTAATCAGGCCCTCGGTGGTGCAGCAGATTAAACCACTGCTGCTGCACTTGCTGACCTAAAAGTTGGCGGTTCAAATCCAGGAGGCGGGGTGAGCTCCCGCTGTTGGCCCCAGTTTCTGCCAACCTAGCAGTTCGAAAACATGCAAATGTGAGTAGATCTATAGGTACCGATTCTGTGGGAAGGTAACAGAACTCCATGCAGTCATGCTGGCCACATGACCTTGGAGGTGTCTATGGACAATGCCAGCTCTTCGGCATAGAAATGGAGATGAGTACCACCCCTCAGAGTCTGGCACGACTAGACTTAATGTCAGGGGAAACCTTTACCTGTACCTTCTAACACTTAATACTTGTCAATGCTCCATAGCTGTAAAAACCTATGGAGCATTGACATTGAGGATGAACTGACTTTAATTCCAGTCAGTTCATCCTCAATAGAAATGTGTAGCTATTATGAGATTTATAATATGAATGGCAATCCTAATCATCTACAGTGATTGCATTATGGTTACAGACATCATTTTTATTTTTACAAGCTTTTCTACTGCTGGAAATGTTTTTCATAGTTGCATAAACATCAGAGCTTGTATAACACTGAACACTGTTTTTCTAACAGCATTTGACAGCACAATGGAAACAATCAAGGAAAGAACAACTTTTAAAAATACTTTTTTCCAGTTCAAGAAACTGCTGTGCTGAAGATTTTCCAACAGAGTAAGGGCCTCACATTGTAGAGTAACAACTATTTGATGTTAAGTCTTCATAATTATAATCAAGAGCCTTGGAAAGCTTTTACCCAAGGACAATATAGTACATACATGAATAGTTATGTGAGCTGTCGTATCTGCTTTCAGTGCTATTGTACAACATATGCATATGCAACTGAACACATAATCCATTTAGAGCAGTGGTTCCAATCCTTTGGGCCTCCAGGTGTTTTGGACTTCATCTCCCAGAAATCCCAGGCAGCTTACCAGCTGTTAGGAATTGTGGGAGCTGAAGTTCAAAACGCCTGGAGGCCCAAAGGTTGGGAACCACTGATTTAGCACATTCATGTGCCAAGGCTTTTGCTTAGGGTTTTATGTTCAGAAATGATGCAAATCCACATATATGCACTTCTCTACATGATGCACCCTATCAGCAACGGTTTCTTATATTTCAAAATAATTTGGCAAAAACCCTATTTGTAGAAATCCAGAAGGTGCAAGGTATAAGCTATGGAAGGAGGTTTGGCCTATAAGGTTAATGAATCTCATGACAAAAAGCATCTCAGCTTCAAGGAAGAAGCAAGTTCATATTTCAAAAAGCCTTTTTCAAAATAATAATAATAACAATAATAATGTACAAGGACAAAATTCACTCATTTATTCACCCGCCTCAAAATCCAGATGTGGATCAGTACTTTTTAAGAGGAAAAAGACTTCCCTTGGGAAAATGGGAGGGGGGGCAGGAGGAGGAGATTTTCTTGTTTGCCTTTATAAGTATTCAATGTTCCAGTCAAAGCGTGCATTCTTGGAAAAAATTACAATAGTCCCCAAGCAACCTTCAGAGGTGTCAAACAGAGAAGGGGATTGCACATACAAGGGAAAAAGTTCAGCTAAGGTTTCCAGAGAAGTTGTTTCTGGTTTCTCTAACAAATCGCTCTTCCACAACAAAATCATTATAAACTTGGCAACAGAAATTCTTCACAAAGCCACGCACATATGGGAGGAAAATTCCTTCACAATCATTAAAGGTGGCTTTTCTGTTCTTTATACAAACATGTGGCTTGCATCATTTCCTAATGAAGACTGAAGCTACTTACTCCCTCTAATGACTTGTTCTCTAAGCATCTATCAAGCCGTAATACTACTGAGGGGCAAGCATTTCTGAACTTATTTCCATATAATTTGCCTTAGGTTTCCCATTTTAACTGTGTAGCTTGTTTTCACTGAACTCATCCACATGGTCTGGACACATGTGTTATCGAAGGCTTTCATGGCCAGAAACAATGTTGTGAGAAGGTACTTTTTAGAAATAGACCCAACCAAAATTAAGTAGTTTTTCCAAATTGCCAGTTTCCAAGATAGTCTAACTATGTCCAGACTGGGTTGCTGTGAGTTTTCCAAGCTGTATGGTCATGTTCCAGAAGCATTCTCTCCTTACGTTTCCCCCACATCTATGGTAGGCATCCTCAGAGGTTGTAAGGTTTGTTGGAAACTAGGCAAGGGGTGTTTAAATCCAACAAAGGATTCCCCCAGGCAGGAAGCAGAAAGAGTTTGAAGCAGCAAGGCTGTTCAATGCTAATCAAGGTGACTAATTGCAACACGCATACTTGCCTCAAACAGGCAAGAGTTCATTCTCCCACTGTGGACATTCCAGACATATAAACCCCACTTGCCTAGTTTTCAACAGACCTCACAACCTCTGAGAATGCTTGCCAGGAGAGAATGCTTCTGGAACATGACCATACAGCCTGGAAAACTCACAACAAATACACTACATTAATCTAACAGAATTGAAAACACGAAGTCACCTACAATTTTGAAAAGCCATTTATATTTCAGAATAAGGAGGGTTTCTTCTTGACACTGACCTAGGCTCTTTATAGAATTATTCACGCTTACTAAGAAATTACAATGTGTTCAGTAGATTACTGGAAGAAAGGTATACACCAGATTGCAGACTGAGGTCTAAATCCAATGTGATGCTGATGCTACATACACCACAAGTGTGGTGGAACTTGCTTCTATTCATCTTATTAGTGGTCTCCTATCTGCATACTTACCGGAGCTGTTTATCTTCCAATATCAGGCAGGATCAGGTGGCTTCAGACTATTTAACCCATGTCTTGAATACTACACTTACTTTTACTCCTTGTAATTTAACAATTGTTAAACTAAAAACAACTGGTTGGTTTATTGACAACAGAATAAACTCTAGTACAAATATTTTTGCCTGCAGAATAATTTCAGTTCACAGTACAGCAGATAACCAAAGTACCTTGTCTACATGGAAAATTAAATCCAGTTCACAGACGTTCTCAAAACACTTGTCTAATGTCTCTACAAATACCTGTGGGGAGAAAAGATTGCAAAAAGTCAAAGATTAATCAACCATTTTATTAAAGAAAACTGAAATGTGTCACACAGAACACAGACAACTCCAGGGAATCCTGGAAATCTTATGTATCTGCACAACATGTGGAGTTAATTCTGGGGATTATCTAGCACAATCCAGCTGCATTATGAAATATCAGATTTTGCTGACATGCTTGGCATTCCTTCTCCTTCGAGTAACATAACATATTTCTAACGAAACTCACATTCTGACAATCCTTTTATCATCTTAAATATTTTATACTCCAAGGCACTTTACAACTCCTCATTAGTAACCATGGGATAAGTGTGAGCCATTTTCTTCTAGATTTATTAGACACTCCTCTCTTCATGGAACAGGATTAATGGAAATAAAATAATGGAATCAGGCTGTTTCTGTTGTATTTTAATTACATTTATTTTAAGCTCCAAAGATGAAATCTTAGTAAACAACATTATAAATTAGGGTTTTGTTTTTGTTTTTTTTAAAGCCACAGTTTATTGCTTACAAGAATAAACTGCTGGGTTCATATACTCCCCTTTTCCTTCTTCTCTTTCACAATGGCAGGAAACATTTCTTTTATATTAGCAACAGTTTAATATAACATTAGCATTAATATTCTGAGCTATGTTTAACCTTAACCATAGCTTGATGAAACCGATTTGTCAGTGTTGGGTGGCAAAGCAAATCAAAAACAAAAAGGAGTTCCCCTTTGCCACCCCCACAGCATGGAGAAATATGAGCCCATCTTGGCTCATTTTCCTATAGATTTAGTTCAAAGTCAAAGCCAGCCTATAACATGATGATACTAGAATCACCATATTTAAAAGGTTCACTGACCAATAACTGTCCTTTAAAAGCAATCTAGAAAAAATAAGGCCTATGAAATCACATACATTTGTGTGTGCAAGTACCTTGAAATCACCTGTTGACCTATGATGACCAAATGAATTTCATAGGGTTTTCTTAAGTAAGGGATACTCAAGGGTGGTTTTCTCAGTTCCTTCCCCTGAAATATAGCACACAGCATCTGGTATTTTTTGGCAGTCTCCCAACAAAATCAGGATTGACCCGGCTTAGCTTCCAAGATCAGATGGGATCTACTGCTGTTGGGGCACACACGTATCACAGCCCTAATTCGCTTTACACCAATTTCAATGCCATTTCAAATTTATACACTTGTGTAACAAAAGCTAGATTTGGGTTTTGCTGTGGAAAGCCCCTGTCTTGTGAAATGTGTCCCTTGTGTTATTTATTGCATCTCACTCATCTACCACAAAGTTCAGGTGGGTATTTTGCTCTTTTAACAGCTTTGCAGGCTAGAACATGACTTTCACAAACCTACTCTGTGAGCTTGATACCTACTGCTTTTAACTTTCATCTCTCACATGAATTCTTTCTTTCTGTAGAAATAGTGGAAGATGAGGAAAACGTAAAAGCAATAGTCTTGCACTCTAGAAAGTGCATTCAATGGTTCTTATTCAACCTCCAGGGAAGTGTAATTATAGAAATTAAAAAGAATAAATAGCAAGTAAAAAATAAGATTCAATTTTTAAAAACTGCATGAGCTACTAAACATTCTCTGACACAGTTACACAAAATGTTCGTCAGCTAGCAGACTAATCAGTGTCAAATAGACACGTCTTCACTTGAATATTTTTAAAACACAGATACTAATGGCAGATTAAGTGATGGCATACAAGAACTTGATTTCAGCTGGAATGGCAGCCACAGAAAGCTTTGTGGTAAGATTTTTACAGGAAAAAAAATTACATTTTGCTGGCACCATTGAATTAAAAGGAGTATTTGTTTTTGACAATGGAAACTTTGATATTTTAAAATGTTCAAAAAAATTAAGTGATTTTATAGCTCCCTCTCCTGTTATATTTTGAGATTTACACAGTGATATTTTTATGCAGGAAAATAGCTTTCATCTCAGAATCCAGTTTTTCTGAGCCTTACATAATTCTTACAGCCCATTGTTGTATATGTTAAACTAATAATGCACTATCTGACATCTGCCCTGAACAGCTGAAGTATTTGTGAAATACATAATGTCTAAAGATGTTGGGTTGAGTTTTTGTTGTTGTTCATTCGTTCAGTCGTCTCCGACTCTTTGTGACCTCATGGACCAGCCTACGCCAGAGCTCCCTGTCGGCTGTTACCACCCCCAGCTCCTCAAGGTCAGTCCAGTCACTTCAAGGATGCCATCCATCCATCTTGCCCTTGGTCGGCCCCTCTTCCTTTTGCCTTCCACTTTCCCCAGCATAATTGTCTTCTCTAGGCTTTCCTGTCTCCTCATGATGTGGCCAAAGTACTTCAACTTTGTCTCTAGTATCTTTCCCTCCAGGGAGCAGTCGGGCTTTATTTCCTGGAGGATGGACTGGTTGGATCTTCTCGCAGTCCAAGGCACTCTCAGAACTTTCCTCCAACACCACAGCTCAAAAGCATCGATCTTCCTTCGCTCAGCCTTCCCTAAGGTCCAGCTCTCACATCCGTAGGTTGACTACAGGGAATACCATGGCTTTGACTAGGCGGATCTTTGTTGCCAGTCTGATGTCTCTACTCTTTACTATTTTATCGAGAATGGACATTGCTCTCCTCCCAAGAAGTAAGCGTCTTCTGATTTCCTGGCTACAGTCTGCATCTGCAGTAATCTTTGCACCTAGAAATACAAAGTCTGTCACGGCCTCCACGGTTTCTCCCTCTATTTTCCAGTTGTCAATAATTCTTGTTGAGTTGAGTTTAGAGTACAACAAAATTCATAACATTAGTTTCTCTTCTTTTGATGGGAATCACATCCAATTTAGTTTGGTTTTGACTCCTCTGTTATTTTAATGTTCATAAAAACAGCTGAAAATTCAGAAGTTTTGCTGCTGTTCCTAAATGAAAATTGAAAATGAATTCAAGACCATTGGTGTTATCATTTCAGAGAAACACCATGGCAATTGCCCAGTTCCTCTGCATTAATTTGAGATGTAATGGAACAGACACAAGACAAAGAAGAGTGGATTATTTATAGTTAAGGTGAGGAACCTACGGCTATCATATCAGATCCAGCCTGCAAATTTATGATTCTGAAAAACAACAATAAATATTACATATTATCTGGAAATTTTACTTTTTCAGATAACTTCCACAGCCAACATAGTAGCTAGTAAGTGTTAAGAAAAAAACTGAAAATATTTTCCTCACATTTTTAAAAAAATATATTTGAGTAGATTCACTGTATGATTTCGGACAGCCTACCAAAACACACCAAATATCCCCAAGAAGCCTTTTGCAATCCAAATAGCATAGTCTCTAGTGATTGTTATCTACTTTACACCCCAGTGACAGATATTTTGAAGTATTACTTTACTTGCTCTTGATGTAAAAACATATCTCCTTCTCCTACATATGTTTTGCATTGTACAAATGGATGTTTTCTATCCCTCAAGCCATTATATTAGATATTCACAAGCTGATCGTCTGACTTCATTTTATATACATGTTCATTGTTACGAAAAGTGAAAGAACAGTGAAATCGTACGCATGGTCATTCAGAAGTATGTCCCACTGAATTCAGCACTGCTTATTCCAAATTGGCATATCTGTTTTAGCAAAAAGTTTGTTGAGAGCAAAAGCATCTACACTGCAAAGGATAGTAACTCATACCAAATCCAGTATTACAGATTCTCTGTGTGCAAAGCAGAAAGAGGTTCCTCTCATAAAGAATTTGCATATTACTTTTGTCTAAAGCCCAACAATCATTGACTAGTGCAATTTTTCAGTGGGAAATCTTTTCCATATTGTTATAGCTATTAAACATTAGGCCTGGGCGGTTTCGTTCGTTAATTTTGTAATTCGTTAATTATTCGTTATTTTTAATAATTACAAAACGATTACAAAACACATTTTCAAACCCGGAAGGGTTTTAAAATAACGAAGCGGCATCCCCCATTCTTTTAACGAGCTTCCGCCTGTTTCGGAAATGGGATGGAGGATGCTGGTGCCTGGGAGCCAATCCGGCGCTCCCAAGCACCCAAGCAGTGCACCGTGGCTGTGTCTGATTGGCCGGCAAGGCCTTTAAAAGCGGCTCCGCGTGGCCGCAGAGCTCATTTGTTGCGCGGAGGCGAGGGAGGAGAGAAGTCTGGGAGGGCTGCTTGCTTTGGGTTGGCTTGGTTGGTAGCAAAAAGACTTGCATTGGGTTGGCTTGGTTGGAACTCTTCTGTTGGTGTGTGCTTTCGGCTGTCTTTTGGCTGTGCTGCTCATCAGGGCCAGTTTTTGGTTAAGTTTCCATTTCTGAATATTTTCTAAAAATACCTGCCTTTTATTCTAAAAAAAATACAAAAAATATTCTAAAAAAGAAAAGACTCTTCTGTTGGTGTGTGCTCTCGTTTGCCCTGTCTCGTGGCTGTGTTAGCTGTACATCAGGGCCAGTTTTTGGTTAAGTTTCCATTTCTGAATATTTTCTAAAAATACCTGCCTTTTATTCTAAAAAAAATACAAAAAATATTCTAAAAAAAGAAAAGACTCTTCTGTTGGTGTGTGCTCTCGATTGCCCTGTCTCCTGCCTGTGTTAGCTCTACATCAGGGCCAGTTTTTGGTTAATTTGCCATTTCTGAATATTTTCTAAAAATACCTGCCTTTTATTCTTAAAAAAATACAAAAAATATTCTAAAAAAAAAAAGAGTCTTCGGTGGCTGTGTGTGCGTTTGCTCTCTCATTTGTGTAGTTCCAACCAGTGCGCTCCTTTTGCCAACACAAAGTGCTACATACACTGTTCGCTCATCATTTGTGTAGTTCCAACCACTGCGCTCCTTTTGCCAACACAAAGTGCTACATACACTGCTCGCTCATCATTTGTGTAGTTCCAACCAGTGCGCTCCTTTTGCCAACACAAAGTGCTATAATACAGTGCTCGCTCATTTGTGTAGTTCCAACCAGTGCGCTCCTTTTGCCAACACAAAGTGCTACATACACTGCTCGCTCATTTGTGTAGTTCCAACCAGTGCGGTCCTTTTGCTCATTATTTGTGTAGTTCCAACCAGTGTGATGAAACGCTTCCTTCCCGGCTTTTCTAGTCGCAAGGGCCAAGTGCTATCGCGAATACCGAAGAAAGGCAGGGGACTGAAGATGAACACATTGACAAGAAGGGAACATTCATCCAACGAGATGGTTATTGAAACACCCACAGATGCTTCAACCAGCTGTGAGATGGCAGAACCTTCTTCTTCATCAGTTCGAAAGACTTTACGTTCAGATCCTGATGTCGTTCCAAGTACCTCTGATATTACTTGTTATGAAGAGGAGGGCGAGGAGGCGGACGTGTCAGAGGAATGGGAGGAAGACAAGATGGAATGTGCTTCCACCACAGGAATTAGTGATCAAGAGGACTGCATGCTGATGGAGGGCGAGCTACAGAAACAACCAACGATTATACTCCCTTCCACAAACACCGACAGTCCAAACACGAGCATGAGTAGATCTGAAGTGCCTAGTAGGGGTAGGCCGAGATCGCTCCTATGGGATCATTACGACGTCCATAATGAGAGGGCCACTTTGGCAGTTTGCAGGCATTGCGGTGTGAGCGTCAGCAGAGGAAAAGATATGAGGCATCTTGCCACAACAGGGCTAAGGATGCACATTAAGATACACCACCCCAAATGTGAAGTTGGTCCTTCTTACTTAACTTGCAATACTGCTACAGAAATTAGTATGTCATGCAATACTTCCCAGATAATTTTCAGAGTTTTTTCAAAGTGCAATTTCTGTTACTTTTTGTTACTTTTTCTTTATTTTTTTCTTATATTTACTTTCTAAGTTTTTATAATAACATTATTTTTATATATTAATAATTTATAATTTAATTTTATATATTATTTTTATTATTATTTATAATTATATTTTATAAATATTTTATAAATTTAATTATATTTTATTTAAATATTTATATTATTTATTTCATTTATATAATATATATAATAATATATTATTATATTATATTATTTTATTTTATATTGTATATTATATTATATAATTTTATATTATTTATTGTTATTATTTATTATTATTATTACTATTATTATTATTTATTTATATTTTATTTATTTAAATTTTATTATTATATTATTGTTTATTTCATTATATATTATTAAATTGACTCAGTTTTGGATACTTTATCTTATTACTTTTTTATTTAATATCTTAATATCTTGTTCTATTTGATTATTTTATTTGATTTATTTTATGAAATGATTTTGTTTATAGAGCATTTAGCATTGCGCAATCGCGTCCGCCGTCTTAACGAATCGATTCGTTATTATTTTAATAGCGAATCGATTCGTATTTAAAAACGAAGTCTCGGAAGTCGCTTTTGCGCATGCACAATCGCGTCCGCCGTTTTAACGAATCGATTCGTTATAACCTTAATGAATCGACCCCCGCGCCAATAACGAAGCTTCGGAAGTGATTTTGCGCATGCGCGGGGGTCCGCCATCTTAACGAATCAATTCGTTAATATTTACGAAATTTCGTAAATACCGAACTTTTTTAGGGGAAAATTTTGTAATTATTTTAAATATCGAAACAAAAAAACACCCCAATTACAAATCGATTTTAGAAACAAATTTTTGCGTTGTTACCCAGGCCTATTAAACATCACCAGTCTATAATTACTAGAAAGATTTTGTCTAACAGGTCGCTTTCTAAACTGTGAGTCTAGCCTACAGAGAAAAGTCCATGCCTCCATTTGAAGCACCAAACAGAAAACTTGGTAGTCATTTACATATACTCCTTGATGACTGTCATTGTTTAAAAATATATTATGCTTACATTAACACTGAGAATTATGTAGCATTAATACTAAAAAAAATGTTCCATGGCTAAAAAGCAAAAATACAATGATAGGTTTAAGGATCGCTCTGATAAAACTCTCTTAGCAAAAGAAATATTTCTTTCAAGGTCTCATTAGTTTGCATGAGAAAGGATAAAATGCAGTCTCAGATGCTGCTGGGGTACAACTTCCACCAGACTTAGCTAGCATAAGGGGCATTCTGGAAGCTGCACTCCATCAGTCTCAGGAAAGGCTATGCTGCCCTCTGTGGCTTACATCTAATAAGATTAGTCTGCTTCACTAAATAATAACAATAAAACCTGAATAAGCAACTGTTCAAAACTGTACGAATTCATCTATAGATTACTTACTTGTATTAAATCTAAAATGCCAAGTTCACTTTCTGAAGAATCAACACAGAAGACAAAATACAATGTAGCATAGTGTCGATATATCAATTTGTTATCGGAGCCACCTATTAATCTAAAATAGAACAAAAAAAGACAAAACAATCAAAAGCAACATTCCAATTTGACTTGGTTAAATCTACATTTAAAAAAATAGGGAAGAAATGTCATTGTGACAAAGAACAGTTATGCAACCCATTTAAATTAAAACTATTTAAGTCACATCAGTAGATAATGAATTTCTCTTAAATAAGCCGATATACAGCATAGCAGTACATGATGTTCAATGATTCACCCGTACTGCTGCTGAATGGGACAGTTCGAGATCAAGTATGCTGATCATAATTACAGCACTGAAATAAATATTACTATAGAATGATGTGGAAAAATAATTTAGCTAATGATAAAGGCACAAATACTACTTGAATGGATAAGAAGTTTAATAATATGAATATTTATCTTTGTGGTAGCAGGCTTATTTACAGTTACAAGCTTCTTACATGCAGGTTGTGGTAAATCAAAGAATTTGTCATTTTGCTTCTTTGCAAACACGGTAAGGATTGTTAGGCACTTTTATTTTTTCTCTGTTAATCTTCAGATATTTCTCACCGAAGAAATGCAACTGGTGCCAAGACATCACTGACGATTCCAGCAATCAACAACTACCGTATTTACATAATTCTAATGTGCACCTTTTTCACAAACTTGCTTAGCCAAAATTGGGGTGCACATTATATTCGATGGCACACTAGAATCGCGCCTAAACTGGGGGTGAGCAAGGCAGCAAGGAGATGAGCAAGGGGATGAGCGAAGGAGCGAGCACACAGACAAGGGAGCAAGGGAGTCAGTGAGCGAGGGAACAAGCAAAGGGGCAGGTGAGCTGGCAAAGGAGCCTACGAAGGGGTGAGTGAAGAAGGGGCAAGGGAGCCAGCGAGGGCCGAGCGGGTGAGCAAGGAGGCTAACAAAGGGCGAGCCAGCAAAGCAGCAAGCCAGGAGCCAAGAAGGAAGAGGCATACAACCAGTGAAGGCACTGCAGCTGCTTTCATATCTTCCTCCTTGGCTTGCCAGGGCTGCTGCCTTGCCAGCCGTAGGCCCTGAAACTAAGGAAGAGGCGGCAGCTTTCTTTGCCCTGGCTCACTAGTGCCTCCCGCTCAGCAGAGCTGGCCTTGACATGATGCCACAAGAATGTAAATGCATATTACTGTTGTTTTGAACTGCTTATTTTATGATGTTTTATACTTATTATCAATGTATTGTTTACATGATTTTAATATGTTGTAAGCTGCTTTGGGTCCTGTGAGGGAGAAAAGCAGGATATAAATCAAGATTTCTTGTTATTATTATTATTGGTTCCACTGACACAGAGCTCCTTTCCTTCTTCCTCTCTCCTTTTCATTCTTCTTTCTCTCTGCCTTTAATTTCTTGTACCTTCTTTATATTCTCTCTCTCTCCCCCCACCCCTCTGCCTTTTCTTCCAAGGTTTATTTCTCCCTTTCTTTCTTGTATCTTCTTTCTATTCTTTTTCTTTTTCTGCCTTTTCTTTCAAGGCTCCTTTCTTTCATTCCTTCTTGAACCTTCTTTCTATTCTATTTCCGCTGCAAATTCTTTTCTTTTTTTGGTTTCAGGGTCTTGAAAACTGAGGGGCACATCAGAGTCAATGGTGCACTAGATTTGAGTAAATATCGCAGCACTATACACAGAAACCTACATTTTCTGGAAAGAAATGCTACATTTTCTCTTGCTGTACAAAGGACCAATATTTATCTGTTCATATGAATGCCCTTTCAAAATGATGTATTATTCAATGCAAAATCCTACTTCTGTACAAACCTCTACTACACAAAGCAGTTTCGAAATCAGTAATACTTACAACCCTCCTTCTAGGAAGTTACAAACATTTTCATCCCGTTTTGACACTAAATGAAATGTTTCTCTGATAATTTGTTGCTGTGTATCTTCACTCTGCAAAAAAATAAAACAGATTAAGATAGTAATGCAGGGATATACAATTTGTTTTTTTATAAAAAGAGTGATATAACATAAAACTATTTCATCATCACCCACAAGCAAAAAGGCCATTGAGTTCAAACACTTTAGGATCTATAGATTGAGTCTCCATTATCCCGAATGGTTGTAATCGGAGGGTTTCCTAATTTTGGGACATCACTATTTACATATACATAGTGACTGAGAGATAGTGAGGAAAGGAAGCTAGTCATACAACCATTGCCGGCTGAGCAATTCTCCATCAAGGGGGGAGGACTCTGTTTATCTAAGGCACAAACAAACAAAAAATCCCTGCTGCTTCCCCATCTGTCAGAAAACATTTGCCTGTTTAGCAAAATGACCAGGAAGGGAGGGGGAAATCCCCCTGCCCCATGAATCATTTTTATTCTCTCTGGGAGGGATACAGGTCAAAGGGGCCACTCTCTGCTTGCCCTTGTGGTCCATTACCCGGGTGCCCACACTGCCATTGGCTAGTCTGAAGATGAGCACAAAAGCATCAGGGACATCCGCTTTTTACAATGTCCTTGTGTAAACTAAATCCTCCCTGCCTTCCACCTGATCCCTTTTCCCCTCAAGAGCTTCTTGAGAAAAAATTCAGCAGGCACTGGACATGTACAAGTCCCTACCACAGAAGTGGGTGGTTGACTGGTATAAAAATGTTTTGTTTCAGATGTGTGCCTTTGGACTATGGAAGCCATTGTGGTGTAGATGTTAATATCTTCCTAGGAATAGGAGACCCAATATCAAATTCTCAATAAATAATCATGAAGCTTACTAAGTGATTTTGGGCCAGTCATCAACTCAATCTAATGCAAAGGCACAAAACTTTAGACATTTGCAATGTTGAGTCCATGTCCATCAGCCCCACAGAAATGAACTAGCCAACTGCTAACCCTCAACTGTCACACACATACAATCTCAACTTTCTACACGAAACCAAGTTTGTGTACACTGAAACCTTAGAAAAAAGAGGCATCACTATCTTAGCCAGGTGGATGATTCGAGTATTTAGATTTTTGGAATTCCAGATAAGGGATGCTCAATCTGTATAGTCTGTCTCACTGTATGTGCATGGGGACAATCTGGATGAATTGACAGAAACACATATGACAAAACAGACATGGGAAGTCACTCTTTGACTCTGTTTCTTATTGACAACTATCCATGTTCCATTATGTCCCAATACACCTGTCAAATGTTGCTGATGCTACATTGGCACTAATCTACCAGGATCAAAAGCTCTCATGCCAAAGCCTGGGTAAGTATCACATATCACAAGTGAGTGAAAAAGGCTCAGGTATCAGGCAACATGAGAACCCATCAACGTGCAGCTATTGTCTCCTGCTTCTCCAATTAAGACAGCTTTACTACTTCTCCTCTCTCTTGGCCCTTTTTTCCTTTATTCCTTTATCTGATTTGTTGTCAATCCACTTCTTTGGGCTTCACGCAAATCTACCATTAGTCAAAATATATGATTTTTTCCCATTTCCATTCTTTTCCATTTCTGGCTGAATAGTTTAAACTTGGATAATATTTTGACTTTGGTTATTTAGCAATTATATTTTGCGGCAGTGTAGTTCAGGCTGCTAGCTCTTGTGACCCAAAGCTGCTTGTCCTTCCATCAGTTCCGGGGCTCAATTCTAACTGCCCGGAGCCAGGACACGCTTGAGCTATGTCTTGCTAACTGCCCACTCTTATTTATTATTATTTATTATTTATTTATTTATACGCTTGTATACCGCTAATATCTCAGCCTAAGTCGGCGACTCATTGCGGTTTACAACAATTAAAAACAGTATTCACTTTAAAACATAAAACACATATACAATACAAATTATTGGGCCACCAATAATAATCCCATGCATCTCGTAACTAAAATCACATTCCAAAATTCGTCGTCCATGATTACCAGTCCTTTAGTCATCAAAATTCGTTGCAACGGATTAACCGAATGCTTGTTTAAACATCCATGTCTTCAGTCTCTTCCGAAACACCATCAGCGAGGAGGCTGATCGTACCTCTATAGGGAGGGTGTTCCAAAGCCGAGGGGCCACCACAGAAAAGGCCCTGTCTCTCGTTCCCGCCAGCCGCACTTGTGAAGCCGGCAGGATAGAGAGCAGGGACTCTCCAGAAGATCTTAGGGTCCTGGTGGGCTGATAGGCTGAGATACGTTCGGATGGCCCCATCCCATCAAAAATATTCATTACAACAGAACTCTCCAACCTATCCCTTTCTTTCATAATATTCTGAAATAAGTTCAGCTTGGAGAAAGAACAATAACTCAATTATTGCAGAGGACGCGTAACACACACACTCATAAAGCATTATTATTACTACTACTATTAGTATTATATGCAAACACATATACATATATTTAGCTGGAGCTTCACTTAAAACATGTAACTGTTCCGACTTGCATACGAATTCAACTTAAGAACAACCCTGCAAAATCTGTCTTGTTGGTAACTTGGGAGACTGCCTGTATATCGTGGAAAGCTTTCATAGCCAGAATCACTGGGTTGTTGTAAGTTTTTTGGGGTGTATGACCATGTTCCAGAAGCATTCTCACCTGACGTTTCACCTGCATCTATGGCAGTTGCCTGCCATAGATGCAGGCGAAACGTCAGGAAAGAATGCTTCTGGAACATGGCCATACAGCCCGAAAAACTTACAGCAACCCCACTTCCTGTATATCATTTCTTCTGGTGCAATGCATACTGGGTAAAGGTGGTTGAATCAAACGAAGAGGAAGCACAGGGAGGGGTGAGGCGTGAAACTGCGTTAATTCCCCCGTGTGGCCCAAGACTGCCCCCTCCTCCCTCCCTCCTTTCTTCTGGAGACTCACGTAGCGCTGGTAGAATTTGGAGAGGCGCGGCTTGCCGTGGTTGTTGAAGATGAGGATGGCTTTGATCATGGTGACGAAGGAAGAGAGGCCGAGGAGCCCCTAAAAGAGACGCCGAAGAAGGGGAAGCGATCTGCCTCGGCCTCCCCTTCTGAGGCGCTGAAGCAGCCTCTTACTTCCCTCCTTCCCCGCTGGGTCCCTTCTTCCCTCTGCCTCAGAAACCCCTCAATTCAGAGACGCGGCGCCATGTGATGACGTAAAACCGAGGAAAAGAGAGAAGACGCTCGGCTTACGGCTGCTCACGAGGGACAATCCTCGCAGGTCACGTGCTCGCGGTCCGCGTCTATAAAAGGGAGCGGGGAAAAGGGGCCTGCTTCCGCATTCGAGAAGCGGCTATGTCCGAGGAAGGGTCGCTGCCGTTGCCTCAGGATGGAGGCGGTGGGGAGGAGACGCCGGAAAGTGGAGCCGCGGCAGAGGCTGCAGACGAGGCCCCTCTCCCTCCTCCCGCTTCGGTTTCCCCGGTAGCCGAGGAACCCGCCGGAGACGCCAGGAAGAAAAGTAAACAAGGAAAGGGGAACCCTCACTGCGGGAAGGGCTGCGGCCTCGTGTCAGGCTTCCAAACAGGGCCCGCCTTCGCCCGTTTACAGGCCGGGGAACTACAGCTCCCAAAATTTTATAGCAAGTGTTGTTAAACTGCATTAATACTCTAGTGTAGATGCATCTCCAGTGGTTTCTAAACTCTAGTCTTCCAAGTGTTTTGGACTTCAGCTCCCAGGTTCCCTTCTCATTGGCCAAGGCTGCTGAGTGTTTCCCACACTTTGGGCTTCCGCTTGTTTGGGACTTCAGTTCCCAGAATCCCCTGTCATTAAGCAAGGCAGCTGAGGCTACTGGGTACTGAGGTGCAAGGGTTATTTTTATTTATCGTGTCAGGAGCAACCAGACAGTTGTATTACATTTTTAACAAAGCAAACTGTAAATGCAACCTCTGTGTTTCCCAAAATCTGGTCTTTGTGTTTTGGGCATAAGCCACCAGAATCTCTATTCATTCACCAAGGCAGCTTAGATTTCTGGGAACTGAACTGCACTAGAAGGAATGAGGTTCAGCACCTATTTAACTGCCACAGCTTAATGCTATGGAGAGATATTGACAAGTCCAGAGGAGGGCGACTAAAATGATTAAGGGTCTGGAGAACAAGCCCTATGAGGAGCGGCTTAAGGAGATGGGCATGTTTAGCCTGAAGAAGAGAAAGCTGAGAGGAGATATGATAGGCATGTGTGAGGAAGCCACAGGGAGGAGGGAGCAAGCTTGTTTTCTGCTTCCTTGGAGACTAGGACACGAAACAATGGCTTCAAACTACAAGAAAGGAGATTCCATCTGAACATGAGGAAGACCTTCCTGACTGTAAGAGCCATTCAGCAGTGGAACTCTCTGCCCCAGAGTGTGGTGGAGGCTCTTTCTTTGGAAGCTTTTAAACAGAGGCTGGATGGCCACCTGTCGGGGGTGATTTGAATGCAATATTCCTGCTTCTTATCAGGGGGTTGGACTGGATGGCCCATGAGGTCTCTTCCAACTCTTTGATTCTATGATTCTATGAATCATAGGAATTGTTTTAGGAAGACTTTAGCTTTCACTGCTCCTAAAGTTCTAGTGCCTCACCTACAGCTCCCAAGATTTTATAGCAAGTGTTGTTAAACTGCATTAATACTCTAGTGTAGATGCATCTCCAGTGGTTTCTAAACTCTAGTCTTCCAGGTGTTTTGGACTTCAGCTCCCAGGTTCCCTTCTCATTGGCCAAGGCTGCTGAGTGCTCTGGGAGTTCACCCAAAAAACCTAGAATCATTGAATGGAGATGGAAACCTTTGTCCCCCAGAATCCTAGTCCAGCAGTGAAACCAATAGACAAAATTGATCCTCAGGGGGGAAAATGTTGCTTTTTGTGAGCCATCTGTAGCAGAAAACTTCCATATGTATTCCGTCATCCACATTTGAACCTAATCTGATCCTATTAAGTCAGTGGTTCCCAGCCTGTGGTCCACAAGAACAAAAATATGGTCCGTGGCCTCACCATTATTACACTGTTGCCTCGAAACCACGCAACAATGAGAGCGACTGGTCTCGCTAAACCCTCTTATAGTGCTGAGTCAATGGGGATGTTGGGAGGGGAGAGGCTGACTACCCACAAAAGCTTACTAGTATCACCACATCAGCTCTACATTATTAAATGTGGTTTTTTGTGGGCGAGCAGATAGCAACTACTGGATGGCGATCAGAAACTAGAGCTGATGTGGTCTATCCAATGCAATTTTCTGAATCGGCAACCCAAATAAACCGAATCTAAAGTTGACCAAAAACTGATTCGTAACTTTTGGTACTAATGTTGGAGAGTGGTCCCTGGTCAAGAAGAAGGTTGACAACCACTGTATTAAATATATTGCACTGTGATTACTACTGTAGAACTATAGATGGAGCTCATAAATAACACTTTGCCTCCAGTAGATAAAATTGGACATAAATGGCTCTTCCTAGATATCTGAGGTATTTCTGTAAAATAGGAATGCTTTAGCTCTCCCCCATTTAATTTGTATAGCTTTGATGATCTTTTCCTTCGTTTTAATGATGCAATCTGTTCTGTTTCCATTTCCAAATGTACTCTGCTTTCCAGTTGATGTTTTGCTCAAAGCTGTTGGAGATACCCCTATAATGAAGACCAAGAAATGGACAGTAGAAAGAACTCGCACAATCCAAGGCCTCATTGACTTCATCAAAAAGTTTCTTAAACTATTAGCCTCAGAACAGCTGGTATGTAATTTTTTAAAAAAAAAAACTAGTTACAATGTTGAAGTTTAATGTATCACTAAATATAGGGACAATCCCTTCTCTGGTTTTGTTTTTCTGCTGACAAACAAAGAAGAAATCCAAAAGGTGTCCATTTATCTGGATTTTCCTGCATATATAACACTTTAAAATGAAGAAGCAAAGTTTCCACTGCAATTGGACATAATTAGACAGTACTGATCAGCTTGGGTTCTTATAGATCTCTGGTTTATCATGTCTCAAGTTCTATAATGTTAACTCAATCATTCTAACCCAATCATTATGAAATGATTATTTCAAAATTAAATATTTTAGTTGGTCCTTTGCACACAGGCAAATGAGTATCCAGAAAGATCAGTTTGCTCATAATTCTGCAAACAAGAGGCAGATGATAAGTGATGTTGTCAACAATGCATTGTTATCAAAGCAGTTCACAAAAACAAAAAGTACAACGACAACATTTAGAATGCATTAACCTCATATAACAATGATGTTCAAATGAGCATCATACATACCAATAGGCTAGGTAACGGTACCTGTAATGTCCATGTAATTCCGCTTATGCAATTCACTAAGCTGTTGCTGTTAAGAAATCCCAAAATAACATACTTTTTCCACACTAAATGAGGGAAATATTAACCAAATGATCACAAAGCATTTCAAAGAACCCACTCTTAAGGGTCAAAAGGCTTCTCAAAGAACAAAAGGTTCTCACAGCATCCCTTTATGCTGAACCTAGAAAGGTTCCACTCATTACCATGGCTGCCACTCTCACAAAAACAGAGACAAAATTCTTTGATGTCCCAATTTCAAGGGATAGGCTCAACACACACCTTCACATACAACAAAAGAAGCTGAAGCTCCCTTTTGAAGATGGGGCTGTAAAACAATGATAGATTCAGAACCATAGACCCAAAAACTTTGGGTTTGAGGGATTTTAGTGCAATTCATTGGCTTAATTTTGATACTTTTAGAGAGGTTTAAACTATTTCATGTTCTGCAGTTAGTTTCCCATTGTTTTCCCCAACTTTTTCTTGCTGAAAAAAGTCTGTGAAGCAGGATGTTGCACTCCAGGACAGGAAAAGCACTCTGACTTTAAACACCACACGTTGAATAGGAAAACAGTCCTTTTATTGGAGATAGTTAAAAAGCAGCAAAGTAAAAAGCACTTTAAAGAAATAGGTAAATCCAATTAGGTAAGAAGATAAGCAGGAACAAAATAGTCCAGGGAAAGGTTCAGCAAAATCCATGAAAAAAAAATTCCACATTTCTCTAATATAATCCAGAAAATCTGGAAACATTAATCCAAGTCATGAGTATGCAGTCATAAAATCTAAGAATCAAAACCATGAAACAAGAAATACTTAAGCATGAATCTTCCAAGCTAGGCTTCCATGAAACAAAGATGAGAACTTAACTTGATTCCAAACAATGCTTCATCTGGCTACATTTCCTGTACTTGAGATTTTTATCCCCTCATTAAGCTATACCAAGCACTCAGAAATTGGTTTTGCTTTAGTTGAGATTCCCTTATTTTTTTTCTGTCAGAGCTTGGCAGAACGCTGTAGCTACTGTTCGGCTTGCCTGTTTTGACTAATCTCCAGCCGTCTATCTATTTGCTCATTAACTTTTGCAGCTGAGCCAGATGCCGAGATGTTTTCAAGCCCCAAATCCTGGATACTCTCTGGTAGCAATTCAGGGAGTACACCATCATCCCCACACCCCTCAGGGACATTCTCATGGGAAACTACACTTTGAACAGGGATCTCCTGGTCATTCTCTGCATCAATATCATTGACCAAACCATTGCCATCTTGGAATTCACTGACATCACTCCCCACATCCAAAGCACCCTGATCCTGAAACACAATCACAGGCTGAGATCCAACAATGGGGTGGGGGAATACAATACCTTTAGAATGACCACTGGGAAATTTACTAAATTTTTCACACACACACGCATATTCCAAATCTCTTGCAGATATCCTCTTCGGTATCAATTCAGAAGTTGCAGTTACCTTATAGTTCTTAAAGGTACAGAGAGAGACAGATTGGAAGCCAGTGGATCTAAACAAGTGGTTCTCAACCTGTGGATCCCCAGGTGTTTTGGCCTACAACTCCCAGAAATCCCAGACAGTTTAACAGCTGTTAGAGTTTTTGGGAGTTGAAGACCAAAACATCTGGGAACCCACAGGTTGAGAACCACTGATCTAAACTGTAGTCAAAATGGAGAAAGTAGCAATATCTAGTAACTCTAATTTCAGTAATTCAGTACTTGAGTAACCAGCAATTGAGTGCAGATTATCTTCCACCTTTTACAGCTGCAATTCTACTTGGAAGAACATGGTCAACAAATAACTGGTCCTCTAGCTTTGCAGATGGAAGTAGGATTCCCTTCAATCTGCAGTCAT